CTGGGGCGGAAAATGGGAAATGGCAGAAGGGAAAATGGAAAGGGAAAAGGGGTGGAGTTGGTGGGCGGGCAAACATGTAAGCGCACATTTTACGGCACAAGCATTTTCGCTTAATAAAATGTTAAGTGGGGGAGAAAAAGCGACAGACAAAAAGCAGCGACAGTTGATGAAGGGCAAAGGAAAAGCCAGGGGTGGTTGTGGGTGGTTGGGTGGTTGGGTGGTGGTTGGTGGGTGGAAAACTCACCCAGAGGACGGACAAACTGACGAAATGACTGACAGTGCGCGGGGGGCGTGCGGGGAGTCGAGTCTGACAGAGGCAGAGTCGTAAAATTATATTTACAACACAAACAAAGCTGTCGACAAGGCGTGGCAGCAGGGGCGGCATCCGCAGGACGAAGGGGGGAGGAGGGGCGGGGCAAAAGGACGATGAAGCTCAACACAATGATAAGCATGAAGCGGATGAGAGACCCACACTGCAAGAAATATAATAGCCTTAAATTAAATTAGAATTAAATGATATAAGCAATATTATTAGAAAGTTTCCTAAGTAATGATATCACACCAACAACTTTAAATTATTAAGAAGGAGGATATGAGATATCCTTTATTATGTATAGCAACTTTAAGTTTCTAACAGATACTAGTATAGTAGTAATATACTATATACTTTTTTCAGTTATGGTAAAAAAGCATCATAAGTCAACGTTTCTTTAAGTCTGAATACCATATTAAACAATTTAAATTAAATAAAGTTTAAGTAACGATTTTACAGCAACAAACATATATATTTAAAATTTTAGAATATTGAATACAAATACAGATACGATCTATACTTTGTTCAGTTATGGTCAAATAAAACAGAATTTTTTGATCATAAGTGAAAGTTTCTATAAGTCTGATTACCATAAAAATATTATTTGAAACTATACTCGGTTATTTAATGATATCTTTAATATCTTAATATTTAACATAAGCTTCTGATTTTTTTTTGGCTTCTTAAAGCTTTGAGCATTTCATAAAAATAATATCAATATTCAATTGACGATCTAAAAATATTTTTAGTATGCATTTTTATTAATATTAGCTTCACATTATATGATGTTATTTTAAATATACTTTGGTGCATTCATTTTATTTAGTTATTATTTAAAACTACATGTGGTAGCCAAAAAAAGCTAATATACTAATAACAATATAAAATAAATTATTAAAAAAATGGTAATGCTTTAAATAAGGTAAGAAAACGTTTATATACAGTCAATACCCTCTTCTAAAAACTTCGATCTAATATTTTCAGTTAAGCACAAGATTATTAAAATTTCTCCATATGCACGCACAGTTAAAGCGAAAGAGACAGAAGCACTGAGAGTGAAAGAGGGGGAGAAAGTAGCGCCAGCAAAAAGGACGACGCTTTGGTCGGTCCCTCGCTTCGTTTGCTTTCACCCGGAGAAATGGGAAAGCGGGGGGAGGGGAGAGTAAACGAGGAGGATAGCTGGGGCGAACAATTTCCCGCACTCAAAAAATAACAATGGCGCGTTGAAAATATCCGCTTCCGTTCAGAAAGCTACCAAAAGGAAAATACCCGAGCAGAAAGAGACAGCGCGTCCGAAAAACCGAGATGGAGCGATAGATAGAGTCGTGGCAGCTGGGAAAATTTTGGGGGGGTGTGGGGATTTCGAGGGTGGGCACGTCACACTCCAAGAATTTAATTCAATTTGAGCACAATGAAATCATATTTTGCAACAAAATGTGGCAAAATGGGAATGGGCACTGTCAAAATCACAGAGCGCAACGCTTTTCATGTCGCCTTCCACATTTTCCATAAGTACGAGTGACCAGCTCAAGGATGTTTTTTCGCCCCGAATATGTTGGCATTAATATTTATTTATCCGCCAGCTGAAGTGGTGCCCCTTTATTATTCATACAGTGTCCTTGGGGGGAGGACGAGGGGCGGGGCGTTGGGCCGGTCCTGTTTAAATAGCGCATAAAATAATAATGGCTTCATTAGCATTCCCATTCGAATTCTATTTATTTGCCCACTTTTCAACGCACATAATTACATAATTTGCTCTGTGCGGGCGGAAGGATATAAATTCGCACATACACACATTTAGGCCCAATCGATGTGCAACATTTTAGGCCAGATACGAGTACAAACAAACGCCTCTTGGGGGATTATTTTCATTTTGACAGGCAACACATCTATACGGATGTATATACAAGTGATATTATATTTATGTACAGTAACTGTCAACCAAATTAGCTCTTAGAACTAAATGTGATTAAAATTAATATTCTAAGGTTCATAATAAGAATTTTGTAGCCATGTTTTAAAATGCAATTTTATATTTATTGTTTTATATTTGAAAATAAATTCTTTTTAGTAAGTACACACCTTAAAGAAAAATGTATTATAAAAAAGATTGTCAAAGATGGCATTTTAAAATTTATTTACATATTTATTTGTTTAAAATTAAGCAACAAAATATATTTCGTAAGTTCACTTTTCCAATTTACAATTTAGTTATTATAAATTATTATGATTATTAAAATAATTACTATTAAATTAATAATTCCTGAAGTAAAGTCTTTTTTTTCGATGCTTTAGAAAACACAGGCAAACATGTATTAAATTTAGAAATCAATAATCGTCACTTATGGTTTTTTAAACAATCTTAGATTGAATAATCAATTAATAATTAGTATTCTGAGGTAAATAAGTATTATTCAGTGTCATTTTTAAATTTAATTACACACTTATTTATTTAATATTAGACAATAAAATGTTTATATTTTAACACATTTTCTGTAAAATATAGGCAAACATGTATAAAACTTAGAAATCAATATCAAAAATTTAAAACTTAAAATGTATTACCACTGATAAGTATTTTTCTTAGTTTCTAGAGTGTTATAATGGCTCCTAAAACAGTAGATGAAAACATAATAAACAAATTGCCCAAGAAAATCAAATGTATATCGAGGTAATTGCCGTTTTAAGGAGACATTCGGTGTCCCCTTTTTCTGTCCGCAACTGTACGAGAAGGATTTGTGAGGCTTTTTGAGGTCCTCTGGTCCTTTGGCCAGGAACTGAGCCGTAAACTGAGGGCATCCAGTGGCAACGGACCATTCCGGAGTGAAATATTGCCAGCATTGACAAATGTTGTTTGCCTGAGCACCCTTGGGCCCAGGACGTGCGTGTCCTTCCCGCACACACACACCCACTCCCCCCTCACCCCACCCACCCATCCTGCCACCCACTTCCTGTGTTTGTGTGTCAGCAATAAAATGAAAAATATTTGAACTCTTGCAAAAAGCGCACAAGGATATCAATTCCCCAAATGCCTTCGATGTGTGTATGCGTGCATAGTCAAATCCAACTAGAAATCACAATCACAGCAATAAAATTGAGAGAGCGTGCACGAATGCCAATGGAAAAACAAGGAGCAAACACTTTGCCCAAGTATATTTGGTTGCAGAGCACAAACAAGTTTTCCGGCAAAGGAAAAGCCATCGGGAGGCGGCGAGGAGTGGCTGCCAGGAAAAGGATGAAAATATTATGAGGCAGGGCTGGATTCGAGAGGAAAACGTGGTGCTAAAAGTATTCGAATTTGTTCCTAATGATTAAAATAAATTAATCTGCACATTAATTTATAAATCAAATCCTACTACCAATCATTTTTTAAGATATTTAGTATAGAAGATTTACTTAGGTCTCCAAAAAGCAGACTACGATTTTATTACTTTGCAAGCCTATAACTGAGCAACACTTTTTTTCTATCAAGATAAATGGTTAAAATTCATAAATACAGATGCATTTTTAAGCTTATTTAGAGAACATAAAGTAAATAAGATTTGAAAAATATAAATATAAATAGATTTAATAAAAGATATAGACATTTATTATTTTTTTCCCAGTCGCTCCTGAACAGAAACTTAGGCAAAGTGGAATTTATTTGCCTTTTGCTTCGATGAGTGCCAAAGGCAACTTTCAAAATGCTGATGACGATTTGAAAATGCCCATGTCCTGCGTTCTCCCTTATGTATAAACATACATATTTACATATGCATTGTACATACAGAAGATACTTCTCGCCCATTATCGAAATAATAAGCCGGTGGCCCAGGAAGGCGAGAATTACCACTGTCAAAGTTACACAAAGGTCAAATGGAACATTATGGCTTTATTTTGCGCCTAATAAATCTCATTATGTCATTATATGCCATCCCCTCCCAGCCACCCCACCCAAAAACAACAACCAAAAAAAGGCCGCAGGATGAGGTGGAGATGGTGAGGATGAGTTGAGGTGAGGTGTGTGCGTGTGCGTGTGTTTGCCTGCGTGCGTGTGGTGTGGTGAGAAGGTGAAAGACAATAAGAAGGAGAGGCAGCAACTACAACAAAAGGCAAAGGCAACTGACTATAGGCGAACGACATGCCAATCAGTAATCAATCCTCAGGACCCCACCAAAAACAATTTGCAGAGGCATAGCAATAACAAGAGCAACAATCACAACAACAACAACAACAACAATGGACAAGTGAGAGACCACACGACGGCACTGTAAACAAATTGGAAAGAGATGAACATACATAACTGCGCAATATGGCGTCAGCAGAGCAAGAGAGCGGGAGAGGGAGCGCCAAAGAGCGCAAGAGCAAGAGCGAAAAGCCGCCATTAAGGAAATGCCGCTCAGAGAGCGTTTGTGTATGTGCATGGGAATGCCTGTGTGTGCGCTGCACAGAGTCTATGTGTGGGTAGAAAATGCCGCAGGGTTGTCAGGCTCAGTGGAAAATCAAATTAAAAGAGGTGTTTATTAATCAGAATTTGTAACTACCTTACATTTAATTAAGTAATAGATGGATATGAAATGTTAGAAACCTGAAAGAGGAAATAAATCGCACTGTTACAGCTCAATTTTAACTCAAACAAAATTGTTATTGTCACTTCGCCCACCTGGCAACCCTGCGCGTTGCTAGCCAACTCTCGCCTCTCAATTTATGCGCGTTTGTACGCGTTGCTCCTTCACTTCGTTCGGACAGCGCGGATAAAACGCCAAACAGAAACAAAAACATAAAAAAACACTGAGCGGATCTACCTTTAATTAAACACAAACAACAAATAAGGATTTAAATCAGTGGAGAAAAGTAAGCAGAGTCAAAGTTGCTCCCTAGTGCCATTTTCCCGTGTGCATTTTATTCAATTCAACAACAATAAGACGTGTTGTTGCCCTCTCGCTCTCTGGCCGTATCGCGTATCTGTGTGTGCGTGCTTTAGTGTGTTTCGTCGCGTTTCAAGCAATTAACCCAAAGCAGCGTAGAAATGCCAAAAACGCATTAAAAATTATTACTCGTCGTCGCTGTCTGTCAGTCACAGCAGAGAAAAAAAAAGAAAAGAAAAGAAAAGAGTAGAGTAACAACAAGCAGAAGGAGAAGAGCGACAATCATACACAAGTGCTATTTGCCGCTACTCATAAAACAAATTACCCACTTGGGCCTGACTTGTGCGTGCGTTTGTATGTGTCTGTGTGTGAAAAGAGCAGCGTAATCATCATCACCAAAAAGAAAAAAATACTACTAAAAAGTAGTAGTAAAAAAAAGAAAGGAAAAGGAGAGGAACCAAAATGAGAGTGTGGCACTGGCACTGGCAATATGTTGCTGGCAATAAAAACAACAACAACAACAGCAGCAACAGAAGCTCCATCAGTTGAATAGTACCGGAATAAAATTACTATACAGCCACTGCATGAGTGTGTGTGTGTGTGTGTGTAATGCCTTCCCTCTTGCACTTACTCTTGATCTCGCTCTCGCTCGCTCACGCTGTGTATGTGCAAAGCTTTTTTTATGTTTCGCACAAACATTGCGGTAAAAGAACGCCGACAAACGACGAACTCGTCGACGCTTCGTCGCTCTCGCCAATTTCCGCGCGTGTGCAAGGTGAAGTCGCGTCGCGTCAGTCAGTCGGTCGTTTAGTCTCTCTCTTCGTCCCCTCCCCCTCCCCTCCCGACCCTCTCTCTGTCGCTTTGTCGTGCAACAACTCCCCCGTGTATTTTTTTTTCTGCCTTTATGCCCCAAGCTCTGTTCACCGCCTCTCTATATACGTACGTATGTATGTAGACGGTTGTGTGTGCGGTGGAGCAGCTTCTGTTCTGCCAAATCATACATACATATGTACATGCTGAGAGAAGGCAAAGGCAACAGAGCTTGGACACGCGCTCTCCCTCTCTCTCTCGCTCTCTCCCTCCCTCGCCTTACTCAAAGTGCCGTTTTTTCGTGTATTTGTAGAGAAATAAAGAAGAAAAAAAAACAACAACTAACCTCATATAAAAGTTCATACATTTGTCGCAAAAAAAAAGAAATAGAAAAGAAAAGCAAATGCAAAAAGTGTCAAAGAAGTGAAAAACAAGCAGAAGAAAAGAAGAAGCAGCAGCAGCAATAGAATCCAGCAGAAGCAGTGAAAAGCAGAAGGAAAAGCCAAGTTTGACTCTCTCTCTTTCTCGCTCTTACATAAATGGAAAATAATTCCTGAGATTGCGCTGCTAGGAAAATTTTGCGGATTTACATTTCACCTACCGTTAGCTCCGGGAGCTGGGAGTTTGGGAGTTTCTTTTGTGGATTATTACGCCCTCTCGCGTGCTCTCTCCCTCTCTCCACCCCCCCACCACCCCCGCAATCGCTCACTGTGGGTGCGAGCAGGCCGGCGAGCTAAGGAATCATCACCTGCCCATCGCCCACCGCCACCCACCGCCCATTGCCGCCCAACCCCCGCGCCCAATCCTCATCTTGGATGCTGTCTATAAATCGGGAACGCGCATATCCAGAGCAGAAATTGCGACTTTTTTGGATTTATAAAAAGGTAAAATACGTTTTATTTATTCAAAATATAACAATATTTTTGTTAAGAATATGATTTAATTCTATTTTTTAATTATTATATTTTTTTAAAGAGTCCTGCTTATATTTAGTTTTTAAAGTTACTAAATTTCAAATTAACAATAATTTGCTAATTCCACCTATTATATATAAATTAAAAATTCCTGAAGGTATTGTTAAATAATTTCGCAGTTAATAAAAAACCCAACTTAAGTTGATCAAAAAATAGCCATAAAAGACCCATTGTTAAAGCTTACATATCTTTAAGATACTGCCCAGTTGCTGTCCCCCTCGCACAGCAGAGATAGCTATAGCGTGAAAGACAGAGAGGGAACGAGAGAGCGCGAGCCTAAATTGATTTCCAGTTTGATTAATTACCGCTTGCCACTTACCGCTGCCGCATTTTACACAAGTATTTCGTGTACACACACAGCCAAACATTGTTTTTTTTCGAGTTAATGCCAATTAAGGCGTTTCAATCTAAGCCGATTTGTAATTAAATGGAGTTTTTTGTTGTTATTTCGGGCGATTAGAAAATTGACAGGCCCGGTGTGTGTCGGTTTTTTATGTTACCTTTTTGAGATTTATTGAAGTGGATTTAATTTGGGTTTTTGTTCGTCGCCAATGGAATGGAATTTCGTTTTGCAAGCGTAATGTGGGAAGACAAGCGGAATTCGCGGGTCATCAGGAGAGGGGGTGTGCTTGGAGGGGGAGGGGGGATGGGGCATGGGAATCGGAATCGGAATGGAAATGCGAATCGGAATCACGCTCGCCTAATGAAGCCTGCGGCGACGCGTCAAGCGAAACGAATGGCAAACAGCGAAAACGGCGAACGAGCAGCCGAACGATAAACAAAAAAAAAGGGGGGGGGGGTGGCGATGGGTGGGGGAGGCCCTGGGCGTGTTTTGCATTTACTCGAATTATGAAAATGAACATCGCGTGTGTGGGTTTTCGGCCAGAATGTCTGATAAAGTCAAGTGATGAACAGGGAATACCAAGTAATATTATAATAATATAATTTTCCTGTTTTCTTAAAACAAAAAACTATAAAATAAAAAAGTCATCAGTATATTTTATTTAGTCACAGTCGCATGACAAAAAAAGGAAACTACCAAATGGGTAATATTTGGTTTTTCCATTAGAATTTGTGTAAAATCTTTGGTATAGGGAAATAATATAAAAGTTGTATAAATTGTACCTAACTTAACGAGCAAAAACTTAGTGTTCTTAAAGTTTTTTTTAAGGAAATGTCACTATTAACTACTATATATTACTCTGTATGTATATTTTAATATCATCTTCCAAGTTTCATCCTTAAATATAAAAGTATAAATTAAAAATACCATCAGTGTATTTTAATATCATTTTTTATTTAGTCACAGTTTCATGACAAACAATTAGGTTTCATTAAAAAACACAAAGTATATTAGACTTAGAGATTAAAGTAAATACAAAAAGCAAACTAACAAATGGCCAATACTAGGTTTTTCCATTATAATTTGTGTAAAATCTTGAATATAGGGAAATAATATGAAAGTTTAATAAATTCAACCTGAATTAACTAGCAAAAACTCATCGTTCTTCGAGTTTTACTTAAGGAAATGTCACTATCAACCAGTATATACTGCTCTTTATATATAGTTTTCTCCCACCAACTATCCAAATTGACTATAAATAAAGTGCCATAAAAATAACATTCGCTTAATGAGCATCTACTTGATTATTTTGCTTATCTAAGCAAATTTAAATTCTCAACTAATTCCGGAAGCGAAATCTCCGTCCACTTTATCTCAAGTTTATTCAAATTTGAGTTTATATCTCGTGCAGAGAGGGTTGTCGATTCCGTTTTGTTTGTTCGTTTGCTCGTTTTTCGATTTAATTAAGTAAACATTGCAGACGCATTTCGAGTAAACATGCCAAAAGTGTTTATTTAAACAACTGTTTAGTCATAAATGCATAGATACACTTGCCGATACACACAGAGCAACAGATACAGATACGCACACGCAGATACCATTAACCGACTATTAGGCAGCGCTCTCTTGGCCGGGCCATAACATTAAAATATTTTACACAAATGGCCGGGACAAAGTAAACCGCAGCAGTGGGTGGGGCAGGGGGGGAAAGCATGGAAGGGGGGCGACGACTTGGCTTCCAGTGGCGCACACAATCGTGACGCCAACTTAGTTACGGTCATTAGCACCAGCAGCAGCAAGTGAGCTAAACTGAACTGAACCGCGCTTGTGTGTGTAGAACTGCATGCACATAGATATGGAAACGAACCCGGGACATGCCAGCATACTCATATTCGTACATACATAATAATTTGTCACACTGTGCGCCGGTAAAAGTTGCCAGCAATCGGCAAGATAGCCAGCCAACCCGTCAGATACAGTTGGGATTCGGATAAGAAAACTTTAAGGTATCGAATGCCAACTAAGCTGGATACTTAAGATAAAGATTACATTGTTTTAAACATGTGTAAAACTAATATTTAAAAACCCAAAAGTACAAGGTTTAAAGATTGAAAACCTATGGGATGTTTAAATATTTGATAAAAGTCCACTAGCTGGGAGTTTAATGTAAAGTTCTTGGTAAAAACTTAAGATTTTATATGATCTGAAACTAATATTTAAAAATCCAAGACATTGAGTGCTTAAGAAAGAAAACTTTAGAATCTATGATTTGATATTAAAATACTTTACAATGGGACCTAAGATTTATCAAGCAAAAACACCTCTTAACGAGGTAAAAAACTAATATATATCTAATATCACCATTTGTGACAAAGTGTATTATACAGTCCATTTGACAATGGAACTTAAGATGTTTAAAAATAATCTTTTCTATTTATGCAGCACTTCTCTAAAAAACATAATTTTCGTAGTATTTAATAGTATACTACTTTTATACTTACCTGATTTTTGAAATTTGTCCAACAAAATAAGTTATATTTTGAAGAAATCCTTAGAAAAGATACTATCATAATAAGTTTAAATAGGTTTTTTTTAATATTTACAAAATATATATTTTGTATTTATCGTCCTCACTAGCGTTGTCACACTGTAACCGCAACTGCCGCAGATGGCGGCCAACAATTGCAGCCAAGAGCCACGTTAACCGACTTTGGTTTGCGCATTTTCTGAGAGCCCCAGCGTAATTGCCCGTTTGCTGGGGCTTTTTCTTTGCCTCGCCCTCTCCTCCCACAGCAAATGTGTCAATTGGCTGACAAAATATTATACGAATATAATTACAGTGTTCATAATTTGTAGCATGTGCCGAGTGTTGTTACTGCTTTGGCCGTGTTCTCTGGCTTTTTAGCCAGCAGCAGTTAGGCAAAAGGCAAACAGCAAAGGCAAAAGCCGAAACAAGGCAATCTGGCATTGGCCCCCGTGTGCAGACATTTATTTGTCCATTTGTCAGGGGCCAAACAAATGCCGGAGCAACCCGACTACTCGACTACTGTGGCCCCACCCGAAAGGCACGATTAGACTTAATTGATTTGTTCAATTTTCATAAAACGCCCCGACAGTGACAAACGTTTGTGAGTTGGTTCTGTTGGTTTGTTCGTTCGTTTTCCGCCTGTCCAACTGCCTATCTGTCCGCCCATGCGAATTAGCATCGAGCTCCAAGTTTGCAATTTCAATTTCAATTCCCGCAATGTGAAAACGGATTATATTACGTTTTCTCTGCATTGACAAGCGAGTGCCAAGGGAATACTCTGCACAAATTAAATTGAAATCATTTAATTTCAGGGAATTCAATTCCAATTGATTCTATTTGCTCCATTAAAATATAACAACACGTCCTCAAAAGCCGTAACAGCTTTTATTAAATTACATATGTACGAAATTCCCAAATGCTTTAGCTTATTGATAGTAGCACTTACTAAAATAGCTGCATCAGGTTATTCACTTAATTTAAAGCCATTTTTATTGGTTTAGGGTATGCATAAATCACAGGTTAACTCTGTGATTTTATTGCGCTTAGCTCAAGAAAGATTAGATAAGGCAAATAAAATTATTACTAAAAAGACACTCTAAAACTGGAAAATCAAAAATTAACTGGCTGACAAGTTGATTGGAACAAAAAATGTTTGCAAAACTTAAACAGACTATTATTAATTACCGAAGACAGCTTAAAATTGGTAAAAATCTCTTATAGTTAAAACAACAATTGATGATATATGATTATTTTTAGTCGTAATAAATCACATACTTTTCTAGAAAATAGAAAATACTTACGATAAGATAGCTGAAAAAATGCATGATTCCATAAGTAGTGGAATATAAGTAAAAGCCCCCATAAACTGAGATAACCAATATTATAAAGTGGGCAAAGATATGAAGAAGAAACTGTGGATATGCTTTCAACTAAACCCATTAGCTGTCACCACGGCAATAGCGCAAAATGTTTGCACCACTAAATCAAGTGAAACGAACCATAAATAAGCAATTCGAACTATTAATAAATTGCATTTAATTTGCAAATACAAGAATTTCAAATGAGCCAAAAACAAGGGCAGCCAAAGGGGGACAAAGGGGGGTCGGGTTATTGGGGGCTAATAACAAATAGCCGGCAATCAACAAGAGCGTCATTAAAAAAGCAAATTTCTGAACACGCTAAACACATGTAGGAAGGCAAGAACAACAATAAAATGGAAGGGGGAGGGGGGTTTAAACAACAACTACAAACACAGGGGCACGAAAGCGTTCAACGTTCACTAGATAATGTGGGCCAACTACAACAACAAAAGCAACAACGATGCAGAGGCAAAAACCGAGAGATACACAAATATACAAAAACTTAATTCCCATCACGAGAAACGAAGCAAATTGATTGTGATGATGTTTTTCAATGGACTTTGTAGTCAGGGTGTGTGTAGAGGGGGCTTTCAAATATGCACACACATGTACGCAGTGTGTATCCGTGAGATACTGTATCTATGAGCCTGGGTGCCGCCTGCCAGCGGGTGTCGGATCG